AGCGGTGTGTAGGTCGACGTGCCTGTGTGTGTGGTGCTGCAGTGGAGGAGGGTGTTCCATGGTGGTCGAGGTTGTGACGTGTGGGTGGTGGTGGGTGCCGGGGTGGTCCGCGCGCTTGTGCCCAGTGTACGTGTGCTGCTTGCAGATGAGGTGCTACCCTCAGTCTGCGTGGTCCCCAGACTGCTGGCAGACGTGGAAGGGGAGCCTGCAGATGTACCTGGGACACTGGTCGAGAGGGAGGAGTTGGAGGGGATGCGTGCTCGTGAGCGTAGGTGACATGCTAGGCGTTGTGGCAGAGGTTGTGCTTGTTTCCGCATTGTGGGAGGTGGGTGGCTGAAGAGGAGGGGAAGGTGGGGAGGAGGACGTGCTGGAGGCAGTCAATGTGGAGGTGAACTCGCTGGTGGTGGTCAAGGGGCCAGTGGTGCCCAGACGTGGGGTGGTGGTTGTCAGTCATGCCACGACCACTGGGAACATCACCCTTACGCCCACCAGTGACCTTCCTAGACACACTGCCACCACAGGCACCACTGCACCTCCCCCTATCACGTCATTCATCACACCCACTAATGTCGTGTCTTCTCCAACATCCACCACCTCTACCCCAGCGACAACCAACATCCAGACATCACCCACGAGTGTGCATCAGTCATTTCCACCTGCCTCAACCACAGAACCTGCCCCCACTTTCACCACCATCACTACCCCTCCACCCACCCTGCTTACCACACCGCATCCGCCCCACACCACATCCACCCCGAGATCTCCCACTACCACTGTCCCCCGGGCCACAAGTGAAAGCTCCACTCTCACTGACACTTCAACCCCTGCCACCTCGATCACAGTCACTTCCCCCACTCCCTCAGCTCCTCACACGGCAACGACTTCTACCTCAGACACGGTAACGATGCCCACCCTCACAACACCATACACCACTTCAGAGACCACGTCTTCAAACACCCGATCTACAGGAAGCACAACCACGGCTGCAGCAACACCTTTGCACCCTACCTCTGGAACCAGACTGACATCCACAGTCACAGCCCTGTCTTCTATTAGTACACGTATCCCAACCACAACACTGACAAGCACCACCCCCACGTCAGTGGGCACCACTGGCCCCTTGACCATCACCAGCGAGTTCACCTCCACATTAACTGCCTCCAGCACGTCCTCCTCCCCCACCTTCCCCTCCTCTTCAGCACCCACCTCCCACAATGCAGAAACAAGCACAACCTCTGCCACAACGCCTAGCATGTCACCTATGCTCACGAGCACGCATCCCCGTCCAACTCCGTCCCTCTCGACCAGTGTCCCAGGTACATCTGCAGGCTCCCCTTCCACATCTGCCAGCAGTCCGGGGACCACGCAGACTGAGGGTAGCACCTCATCTGCAAGCAGCACACGTACACTGGGCACAAGCACGAGGACCACCCCGGCACCCACCACCACCCACACGGTCACAACCTCGACCACCATGGCAACACCCTTCTCCACTGCAGTCACCACACACACAGGCACGTCAACCTACACCACCGCTCATGCCACTACCACTGGGAACATCACCCTTACGCCCACCAGTGACCTTCCTAGACACACTGCCACCACAGGCACCACTGCACCTCCCCCTATCACGTCATTCATCACACCCACGAATGTCGTGTCTTCTCCAACATCCACCACCTCTACCCCAGCGACAACCAACATCCAGACATCACCCACGAGTGTGCATCAGTCATTTCCACCTGCCTCAACCACAGAACCTGCCCCCACTTTCACCACCATCACTACCCCT